CCTTTCAAAATAGTTTTTTCTCATTTAGGATATGCAATACTCACCCAGGAAGAATAACCTTTTACTTTATATTTTAATTCAAATAATCTAACAATGAAGCAAAGCACCTTAATTATATTCACTTTTAAGAAGTCAATTTAAACCCATTTATAAGTCTTGCTCAGCTTCAAAATCCATAATTTAGTGCTGGATATTTAATGGCTAGAATTAGCTTCTAGTCCCTGTGTACAACTTGTGGACTTTCTTTGACGCTCATGGTGACCATTAAATTAACATTAAGTGTATACAGCATATAGGGCCATAATAGTGCAATGAAAGCGCACAAAATAGCTTGATTACAATTATCTGTTGTAAAATCACAAGCAATCATGTTTCCCTATCACAAACAGATGAAATCTCTTCAATATTTTCACAGTTTAGAACCCCAAACAAATTATTTTCATTATTTAAATGATAAAAAAATCGATAGAAATTGTCAATCGTATTACTGCATCATTTAAGAAATAGACAACGTTATGTAGTTTTCAATGAATAATCATTATTCATTTCTTATATTTACATATTTTGATGTTGTAAAGAATATCAGAGGAAATTCTGGCTTACATAAGGACAGGGATTTCTTGCCTCCAGTAAAGAAAAACACATGGCTATAAAATAAGTCGACATGATTAATGTACCTTTTTTCTAATAAATAGAAAATTTTTAAGTAGTTATCTCATAACCACAGTTATCTAAATACAATCAGCGCCGCCATCACATTCTCTTAATTCCTGTTTTGATGGAATTTTGACGTCAACGTTCTAAATTGTTGAAACCCTCAGAGAAAAATCAATAACGCTATGATGAAAAAGAGAATGCTTTTTAAAATAATGATTATTATTGAAGTTTTTCTATAATTTTTGATGTGCTTTAATCAATTTTCAAGAGCTAAAATTGTTTTTGAGATAGATTTATGATAAAAGAAATTTTAATTTTTAGGCATGCAGAGCACCCAAGTGTGAAGAATTATTGTTATTTGTAAAATTATGCCAAAATATGAAATCATAAAAATATGGTAGTTTTTATCAATTTTTAAACAGTATTATACAATCAAATATATTGACCATAAATAAATTTTTGAAGATATGAATTTTAATTCTTTGAATTTTTTTTTCTTCAGAAAATATTATTAGCTCATCTACGCCTAAGGCTCAAGTGAGCGTTTCTGAGTAAATTTTGTCCGTTGTCTGTCGTTGAGTTTGTTGGCGTCGGCGGTGTTGGCGTTGTTGTAAACTGTTTACATTTTTATCTTCTTCTTATGAATAACACGACCAATTTCAACCAGACTGGTTTTAAGTATTCCTGGGTAAAGGGGATTCAAGTTTGTTCAAATGAAAGGCCAAGTCCTCTTCAAAGTGAGGAAATAATTATGAGTTAGTGAAAATTTTATGGCATTTTTGAAAAGATTTTTTCTCAAGAACCACTGGGCCAGGAAAGATGAAACTCACTTGGAATCATCCTCAGGTAATGTAGATGTAATTTTTTTATCAAATCATGACGCCTAGGGCAAGAATGGAGCCGCCATGGCCGATCAAAGTCTTCCATAGGAATATACAGGAATTGTTTTTTCAATATCTTCTTAAGATCCATAGGGAAAGGAAAGATGAAACTCATCTTGAATTATCCACAGGTACTGTATATCAATGTTTGTTTAAATCATGACCCCGGGGGTGGGTTGGGGCTATGATGGGTAATCACATTTCTACATAGGAATATATATCAGGAAAAATCTTCTTTTCAAGATCTATAGGGACAGGAAAGATGAAACTCATGTGGAATTATCCTCAGGTATAGTACCTTCAAGTTTATCCAAATCCTGACCCTGGGGCAAGGGTGAGGCCACAATGGTCGATCAAAGTTTTACATAGGAATACCGATATTTAGAAAAATCTTTAAAATCTTCTCCTCAAGATCTATAGGAACGGGGAGGATGAAGCTATTGTTGAATCATCCTTGAGTAGTGTACATTGAAGTTTGTTCAAATGATGACCCCCGAAGGTAGGATTGGGCTACAATGTCGTTCAAAGTTTTACATAGGAATGCCTTGGGAATACATCTTTTACCCCCTGATAAGTGATATTTATATTGAAGCATCTTCAATATACTAAATTGATGCTTATTTTTTTTCAAAGTCAAAATGACACCCGCAGTTCCATTGAAAAGTAGAAAGAATAAAAATTTTAACTCATTTTCTTTTCTATATACACCCAAAGCGCATGCAAACGCTATATAGAAATAAAAGACTTGTAACGAACTAACTGAAACAATATTGAAGGAAGTGGGAAGGGAAAACTACTTATATATTTTCTCCTTATAAGACAGACAAGTGAGAAAAATAGAAAAGGAATATTCACTGAGTGCTTTTGGCATTTCAGTAATTAAATTTTTATTATAAAGATGTATTAATAAACATCAACATATTTCAAACATTGAACATTTTTATTTTATTTTATTTTTTTATACTTTTGAAAAATAAAATTCATTCAAAGATCTAAAATATACAGGTATAAGGTTCAAAACGTTATAACAACGTTATGACTTTTTAACGTTATTTTGACGTAACGTCAATGTGTACCAACACCGTGCGCAACGTCGTAGGAAATTCTTTTAAAAACTTCTCAAGAATCATTGCGACAGGAAAGATGAAACTCATATTGACTCATCCTCAGATAGTCTACACAAATTTGAAGTTAATATTTTCTCTATAATATGACGACTTATATATTAAGATTGCAACTTTTCTTAAGCATTAAGAATAAAATTAAAATTTGTGAAAGTGCAAGGATGTGTCAATCAAACCAACCCAAAAATTTGAAGTTTTAATAATTTTTAAATGAAATAAGATTTTTAATTAAATTTTGTGTGAAATGCTAATAAAATATATAAATCGAATATCTTAGAGAAAATATTAACGTCAAATTTGAGTCCAAGTACCTTTAATATGAAGTCAAATTTGGATCTTTTATGAATGCAGATCTGTAAACTGGTCACATTACTTGACAATTATTAATAATGAAATTTAGTACTGAACCAGTAAATGGAAATCGCTGGTCTCCAAAAGTAAGTTATAAGAGTCTGTAAAATCACAGTCTTAGTCAATTTTCATGAAGACAAAGAAGAAAAGTTTGACGGTAAACCAATGACCATAAGTATATGGAGATAACGAACAGGATTCAATCTCAAAATCCATTAAACAGTACAAAATAAGAGGAAAGCAAACACGGACCTCCGTAAGATCAGAAGTGGGATAAGGTGCCATGGAGGAATGAGCATCCCCTGCTGTCAAAAGAAGATAAAACCCAATGAAAACCTATTTCATAAACAACGTCCCAATGAGAATCAATACGACACAAAAACCTTTGACCCGCCCTAAGGTAACTAATTTCATGTATCTATATATATAGCTGTACAATTAGGCCTAGGGATATACAGGGGTGAATCTGAATTTTTATTTATCATGGTTGCTTAATTAAATTTTAAATCGCCTGAGCTGAAGGCTCAATTGAGCTTTTCTGATCACATTTTGTCCGGCGTCCGTCTGTCTGTCTGTCTGCCTAGCTGTCTGTCCGTCTGTCTGTAAACTTTTCACGTTTTCGACTTCTTTTCAAGAATTGCTGGGCCAATTTCAACCAAACTTCCCCAGTGTTAAAGTCAAGTCGTGTTTTATTAGGTTCTTTTTTTTTGTTATTAGTGGTCTAGATTACAACCATGGTATATAAAAATCTAATCATTTGTAGTATTACTAACATATAAAACAATTCAAATAGTTTGTCTATGAGCGATATTAATGAGAAAATTAAACATCGAAATAACGTGGTTTATGTCTTAACCAGGAAGTTGACGTTTTGTTTGCGATGAAATCTAAAATTCTTAAAAACAACGAAAGAGATACAATAAATTGATATAAGATTTGATTTAAAAGAGCAAAACAACTGACGCATTTATCTCTAATATTTTCACTTATTCATTAAGATATATTATTCACAGTTTGTAGTCTAAATACCTTAGCTAGGTCTTACTCAGATAACTTCCTATTTGGAGGACATGAAAACACGCAACCGGTAGGGAATTTTACAAAGATGTTGACGTAACTTTAGACTTTTGCTCTCTAAATAACATATCCAAAAATATTTCCTTTTAAAACTCTACTTAGATATAGAAGATATATACAAGATATTGATAAAAAAGTAAATTATGTATGTTACATGTATCTCTTATAACCGAAAGTTGTCGTTTTGTTTCAGGTGTTACTGACATATTTCAAAACTTCAAATGAGATGCAAAAAGAAAAAAAAAATAAAAGAGCATTTAAAATTCTCGATGTTTTTATCACTTTCTATAAAGACTGGAAGAAACAAAAACCGAAATAGGTTTTACTACTCCGCAAGATCTGATACTCATATAACTGTATACAGGGCTATTTTCGTCCCGTGTTATTTTCGCCCTTTCACACTTGCAGACATTTTGCCCCGTTTTAAATTCGCCCAGACATAGTTTTGTTTAATTGATTTAATCGCGTATTCTTTGAATTCGCCCTGTTTAAAATTCACCCGAAATGACGTTAGGACGAAAGGGGCGAAAATAAAACGGGAATGAAAATTCCCCAGTATACAATAGTTTGGTGTCTTAAACTCTAATTTTCTGATATATGAGTACGGCAAAATATTTTTGAAAAAAAAAATCGAACAAATCGGATGGAAGTGAATTGAGAGAAAAATGAAAAAAAAAGTTCTAGGGTATTTTTTTTCACTATATCATCCCTGAGAATTTCAATATAATCCGCTCTAGAACAGAAGAATTTGATAAGAGTGTTATGCTCGCCTCTGTCTAGTGCACTATTTATAAAACCCTGACAACTATTAAGACATTGTGCATGCAATGTTCAACACTTTTACATAAATAATTTGGTTTAATATCTAGATAAACAAATGATTACATCAACATTTGTTTCTTGTTCTCAGGAAAACTGGTCAACCCTGAAGAATTTGACATAACATTATTAACAACTCTCCTCCGTAACTTCACAAAAATTTCTCCTCCTTCAACAGGATGGAATAATGCTCCTTTTGCGACAGACACTAGTGAAGGGGCAGACTTAGTCAGGATACGTTTAATACGGAATCAACTCATGCATAAGAATGATGGTGAATTAGATGAGCAAGAATTCAAATCCATTTGGAGTGAAATAAAGAATGTATATATATTCAATAATGTTTAAAATTCCCTGATATATGCAAACACTTCTTATATGTTATGCATGAATAATGAAAAAGAAAGATAAAACGATTTGTTAAGTATAAGAACAGTAAAATTATTTTCATTTAAATGATCTAATAAACATGATTTTTTTATTATATAAGCAAAACACGTTATGGAACTTATGATTTTTTAAAGGCTGTCAGTCGACTAGGAAAGGGAGCATTTGACTTAGAAATTACAAGTTTGCTGATTTCATCTATAGATGGATCTCAGAAAGATATTTTAACCCATTTCAAGAAACAAGTTTGTCAAATAGAAAAAATAGAGACCGAGGTGGATAACATCAAATTCTGTCAGAATGCGATCAAAAAGAGAATTGGAGCACTCGAAGAAGACATTAGAAATAACGATATGCTTATTCAGCTTCAAAGCAGACCAAACAACTACTTTTCAGATTCAATATCAGACACTTTTCTTTGTAAGTATTGGATGTAGTATGAACACTAAACCTTCGAATAAACGTTTTATCGGGGTTTTGTGTCAAACTCATTTGGTTCAAATTGATTTATGTTCCCTGTATGTTCCAACAAATCGTTTCCTTTACATTTTAAAATACAGTTATATCCTTTACATTTTAAAATACAGTTATATCCAAGTTATGCTGCCATAACAGGACATTCTACATAAAAAGATAAACAAATACATCTTTTTTTTTCAGGGGACATTGATGAACAAATTAAGTGCTGGAAGTCTGAAAATGAGACATTTCATGTTACTAAATTTGCAGAAAATCTTTATAATGCTATTTCATTGAACAACATTGTTACTGTTGTCGGTAATTCTGGTTCGGGGAAAACGGCAACAACTCGTTATGTAGCACTTAAATTAAAAGAGGAGGGATACAAAATTATACCAGTTAACAGACCCGAGGACATTCAGCGTTATCACAATAAAAACAAAAAACAGATCTTCGTTGTTGATGATGTTGTTGGTGACAAAACCTTAGATGAACATCTTTCTAACAGCTGGGAAAGAAAGAGTTTTATTGAATGGGCAAAACGAAACCATGTGATGTCAATAGAGGGAAATGCGGAAAACATAAAGAGGAATCTTACTGAAGATATAAGGAAAGACCAAATCAAGATCGACAAAGATTCAAAAAGTTGTAAAATTTTAGTTACTTGCAGATCAATTATAAGCAACAGCAGGCGTTTTAAAAGGATAAAAATTCTATGCTTAAACATTCTCAACATAGACTTTGCCACAAATAAAATTTCATATTTAGAAAGAAAGGAAATTTTACAGAAATACACCAACTTACATTTAAATATTACGGAAGTTGATTTCATGCGTCACGACAATTTTCCATTGTTATGCAAAATTTTTTCAAAAAACGATTCTTTACACTCAGCTCCTGAAGCGTTTTTTCTCAATCCTTTCTCAGAATACATTAAAGAACTGGAGAATTTATTTGTACACAACAACTTTAAATACTGTACACTTGTATGCCTTTTACTCTTTGGAAATAAGTTTGTAACAGAGGAAAATGAAAATATTTCTGGAATTCAGGATGTGTTTAAAAGTTTTGGGATTTTATTTCAATGTTCCAGGGTTATAATACGAAATGCTTTGGAGGAACTCACAGATGTATATGTTAGACGAATTTCAGAATCATATGAATTCCTTCATGCCACACACACAGATATAATAGCATACCATCTTTGCATCACGCAAAAAAATTTCTGGCTGATGGCAAAGTACGGTCCAGTTTCTATCATCCGTGATCGTGTAAGACCTTACAAAACTTTAAATTCAGACGACCATAGAGATGAATATTTTATCATAATTGAAGGTTCTGATGTGGATCTATTAATCAGAAGGATTTACAAAGAAATTACAGAGCCTATGAATTGGGAAGATATATTTCATCTACCTTATTTTCCTAACGATTGTTTGGAGGAAAAACTCGGTAAAACCATCATTAAAGAAAGTCCAATGCTATTTTTGTCTGCCAAAACAGATTGCATTTTTTCTTCTGTTTACTGGGGAAATCTTTCAGAGTTGAGACATATATTTTTATTGAAATGTCCTCTATTGCTTTGGACCTTGGGCTTTGGATGGGCAAAATTATTTGATCTTGGTCTGAAATATCAATATTCAGAATATGCAGCACTTAAAGGGCTCCTATTAAACAGAGATGTTTGTTATGTCTTGTCTCTAATGAGTAGCAACACGAAGTTAGTGAAAAAAATTGATAGTCTATGTAAAGTGCAAAGTTCATGTCTGCTATGTGAAAATTATTCTGCTAAGCCTACATTCGAACACTCAGAAAATTGTCCAGTCAACTTTATCTCTGATATATACGTCCCTTGTGTGTCTGGAAGTGAAGATGTTATGAATTATTTTCTGTCAAAAAGTCCTCATATCTGTGTAAATGTAACACATCCATTGCCAAATTTTGAGCTGATTACACGTTCTTGTTATGTAACTCCACTTCAGGTCTCTTGTATGTTTGGATTTTATGATATTACAAACCTACTTTTAAAAGCGAATGCAGACGTGGAAGCAAGTGTTTCTAATACGGATTCTCCATTATTATTTGCTAGTAGAAGAGGTTTCTCAGAAGTTGTAGCATTGCTGATATCAAAAGGGGCAAGTATTAATAAATATAAAGGAAAAAAACCAGGACCCTTGATGGCAGCCATTTATTCTGGATCCAAAGAAGTAGTGCATGTGTTGCTTTCAAGTGGTATTTCAGTGAACGATGCCGATATTCGTGGAGACACTCCATTACATGCGGCCTCTAAAGCAAATCAGGAATCAATTGCGAAAATATTGATCGAATCCAAAGCAGATATGGATATTTCAAATAATTCCGGCAATACTCCACTATTGATAGCATGCTGTGAAGGAAATGAAGAAATCATATCTTTGTTACTCCGTAGTGGTGCTTCTCATACAGCCCATTTGAATTGTATGCCGCTTTTGTATTTCGCTATTCATTATGGATTTAAAGATATTGTATTAAAACTTCTTTCCAGGGGTGCTCTATCTACATATTGTAGTACACCGTATTTGCACAAGGCTGTTTATAAACAAGATATTGAAATCATTGAAATACTCCTTGAAAAAAAATCTGTTGTAAATATTGTTGATTCCTATGAAAACACACCTTTGCATGAATCCTGCAGAGTGAGTTCTGATGAAAAGATAGTTAAATGTTTGCTGTCTTATGGTGCAGACACAAATTTAAAAAATAGAGAAGGTGAGACAGCTCTTATAATTAGTGGGAAATATGGATGTAGTAAATCGATTCCCTTGCTTCTTGAAAAGGGAGCAAAGTTAAATCAGGAAGATAAAAGTGGGAGAACAGCTCTATGGTGGTCTTGTGTTAATGGTAATTTAGAATCTACAAGAATTCTCCTTAAGAGAAATGCCGACGTCAACAAACAGGATGTAGCAGGTTGTTCTCCTTTGTTTTGGGCTTGCAGCAACGGGTATATTAATACTGTGAAGGAACTTTTGTCATTTGGAGCAAAGATTATTGCGACAAAGGAATCTATTACCCCGTTTTGGGCCGCCTGTAGTTCAGGTAAAATAGAAGTTGTTTCCTTGCTTTTTAAAAAAGGAATCGATCCAACACTTTGCAATAACAGAAATGAATCGCCTCTCTGGATAGCCTGCAAAAATGGACATAGTATGGTAGTGTCCTTTTTACTTGAGAATAGTGCATATTCTGATAAAGAAATACATGAACGAAGTCCTTTAAGAATGGCATGTATATTACGAAAAAGAAATGTGATTGAAATCTTGCTGAGATTTGGTTTTGGAATTGGCGATTTTGAATATGCGCTAGCTCGAACTACTGAAAAGATAAAAAGGAAAATTAACTTTTCGTCTTTAATGGATTTCTTTTTAAATGGAGTTGAACGTCAATTTTTATCAACCAAATTACAACTGCAAATATTTGAGGATTGTTTTGGCAATTTAGATAAGAAGGATATTTATGGAAATACACCTTTACTAGTAGCTAGTAGAAACGGGTTTTCTAACATCGTTTTTCTTTTGCTTTCACAAGGGGCAAATCCTAACTATGAAAATCCAAATGATGGTATGACAGCTTTAATGTGGTCTCGTTTAAAAAAACATGATGACATAACCCTTATGTTAATGGGCTATGATTCAAAGTTAGTAACTACTGATTCTTTGTCGAAGCTTTTTAGTGAAAAAATAAAACATTGTTCTGAGGTTGTTCCAGTTGCATTCCAAAACAAACTAGTTGAAGAAATTGACAGTGGAACAAATTGTAAATTTACCCGGCCAATATTTATTGCTCTCCGTGAAGGTTATGAAGAGGTCCTTAGAATTTTACATGTATCTCAGTTTGAAGTTGATGTGAACGTTTCAAATAAGAACGGTGACACTGCGCTTATTATATGTTGTAAGTATTATCAGGTTAAAATGATCAAACTGCTATTAGAAAATAGAGCAGAAATCGATCAAAGAGATGGGTGTGGACGAACAGCCCTGTGGTGGGCTTGTGTGAATGGCGATATGAAAGTTGCAAGCTTGTTACTGGAGAAAAACGCAGACGTAAACCTTCATGATTTCGCAGGCACCACTCCTTTATTTTGGGCTTGTAGTAATGGTTTTAAAAATATAACAGTTCTTCTCCTTTCGTATGGAGCAAGAGTTAATTCTACAGAGATATGTCCGTCACCATTCTGGGCTGCCTGTGATTGTGGACATTTAGAAATTGTTACACTACTTTTTGAACACCACGTAAATGTTAGTTTGTGCAATCATAATGATGAATCGCCTTTCTGGACAGCCTGTAGAAAAGGGTGGTATCAGGTAGTAGAATTTCTACTTCAACAAGGTGCTTATACATTTAAAGATTACCATGAACGTAGCCCCTTAAGGATGTTGTGCATATCGAGTCAAGAAAAACTAGTTCTGATGTTAATGGAGTATCAGTTTGAAATAGGGGATCTTGAATATACAATAGCTCACAATGATGAAAGAATGAAGATAAAAAGAGATTTTACAATTATTTTAGAGAGGGAGTTATCAAAAATTTTGAATGGAAAAGAAAACACAAATGAAATGAAAATATTTGAAGACTGCTTTTGTAATCTAAACAAAAGAGATGATAATGGGAATACGCCTTTGATTGTTGCAAGTAAAAATGGATATTTTAAGATAGCTTCTCTGTTGCTTTCACAAGGGGCTCTATTGGATCAAAATAATCCAAAGGACGGCATGACACCTTTGTTGTGGGCAACTATAAAAGGATATACAAATATAGTTCTTCTATTAATAGGATATGGTGCAGATATTAATTTGTGTAATAAAAAAGGAAAAGGATCATTACTGTTTGCCCGTTTAAATGGATATGACAAAATCGAAAAATATTTACTCTATTTTGGTGCTATTATACACCAGAAGATTAAAAAAAGGTCAAACACCAGTGAAATATTTTCGTGCTGATGAGAACCAGAGTACTAGCACAATTTCGGAATCAAATATAACCAATTCTTCTCGGCATGAAATTGTTTGTTGCAATTTGCTTTAAATAGCCTATTTCAATGTGAAGGTGATTAATAGTGCGAATTGTTGAATTTTTGAAAACTCATTTGAAAATAGTAAAAGATCTTGGTTCGGCAAATAAAAAAATCTGTACCTTATGAACTGTTCAGGCATGAAAAAGTTGTTTTATTACCAAATTCCATTTTCACTATTCAATGTTCAGAATTGTATATTACAAAAGGTCTATAAACCACTATGCATTCACTTCATTGTAAATTAATACCTAGATGACCAAAATGATACATTAAACATAACACTGTAACAATTTATTATTTGATCAATAAAATGAAAAACAACAGGTTTACAAACTGGCTACTTGGTACATTGCCATTAAGGACCCTCTCTACACACGTGCAAATTTTTTTTGGAGGAAAATATATTGCAAAAAGGAGTTAACATTGTGCTTATTTATTTAATTTTCAAAGTACGGTGCGTGGCATTTACCCCCTGGAAAAATATTTTCAAAGAAACACAATATCAGTGAATAGAAATCACTGTTATTACTTCAATAAAGAAAATACAAGTAAGAGCAAGAGCCACTTTGGGCTTTATTTAGCCCTGAGAATTTCTAAAAATTCAAAACCGCTCAGTTTAGGTTGCAAATGCAGTATTTATCACTTGGAGAGCTGGTGACCACATATCTACTGATTGTTACGTAATTTCACATTTAGTTAATGCATTATGACGTCATAAAATGCGTCATTTTCCTCATATCCTGTAAATTCCTTTGAAAATGACATAAAGTTGAAACAATTTCTTCAATATATCATATAGAGCACAACCTCTGATCCAAAATATGCAAATACATATTGGGGGCTCTTAAATATGTTTTATTTCTTGGATCGTTGGCTGTGCTCATATTCTAATTATTTGCTAAAGGAAGTCAAATACGCATGTATTCTGCTTTCAAGAACATTGCAATTTCTCAAAGCCTGTTTTTCAATGTATGGATTCTCAAAACGAAATTTTATTATAGAAAATGAAAGCACCAAGTGTCTACTTTATTTTGATATATAAAATGGGAAAGAGGGTGATATTTAATTAATTGATATAAGTACAGGGCCATTTTATGCATAAGATGGCTCTTGCTCTTTGTCAGTTAATATACAGTTAATTGATTTTGCCCTTTTTAAAAGTGAAGAATACTTCAATTAATTACAATTTGAGCAATATAATGCAAATTTCTAATTTTTTTTTCAGAATTTAGATCTAATGGCAGATCACTCTAACTGCAGAAAATACCTTAGAATCAGAATAGAATTAGAACTCTTTAGTGTGTGGTGAAGGATATGGAGATAACGAACAGTATTTAATCTCAAAGTCCATAAAACAATACAAAATAAGAGCAGTGCAAACATGGACCCCCGAAACATCAGGTGTGATCAGGGTGCCATGGAGGAGTGATCATCCCCTGTCGACCGGTCACACCCGCCGTGTGCTCCTTGTCATGATCAGGATATAACGGGAAAAAAGTCCGGCGTCAATTCAGTTTAAAAATAATGGACTAAAAATTGGTATTTAAAAAGTCAGTCAGCATTTGACGCAGTGATAAATTGTATTTGCTGACACGGTTTGGTCCAAAAGTAGTATTTGCTCTGCGGTCGAATAATTTCCTAATAAAATTCACCTGGCTTGGCATATTTTTCTAAAGTTTATATTACTCTTTTAGCACCATGTAAACATATTCTGAAATTTGATTTTGAGGCTAATTATTTTTTTTGCGGACAGAAACAGAAAGGAAGGAAACCAGTTGTGGAGGACCCTGAAGGGGCGAAGGAATAAAAATGAAGATAACACGTTACTTTATTACAATATAATATATTATGCGTCTTCTGTGTCATCTGCAGTGACTATGTGAACTGTATTACATAATGATAGATATATATCTATCTTTGATGTAAAATTCATTTCTTTCAAATTTTATTGTTAGTAGTCCATTTCAAGATGAACAGGGACCTCAAGGACAGATGATACAAATAATTTTTTTCTTTGAACAAGATTAAATATCATGTGTAAAGTTTAGAAATGTGGATGGCTTTTAGAATTTTTTTCTCCTAAGAACTGAAATATGAAAAAGACTTGGAAAATATTAGTAATTTTTCAATGAAAAAACAAATATAGACAAATCACATTCAGGAAAGGTTTACAGGTGATAACAATTTTCAGAATATGTTAACATGGTGCTTAAAGTGTAATATTAACTTAAGAAAAATATACCAAGCCAGGTGAATTTTATTCGTAAAAGCTAAATGGTAAAAATCAGCCTATGTGTTATTGCTAATTATGTTCCCCAAACGAAGTTGGGGAACATATTGTTTTTACTCTGCTTCTTCTTATTATTTTTCTTCTTCCTTGGTACTTATTTTTGCGCAAATGATCTTGTAAACTGTTCATCTGATGTAGGTAAAACCCTTTTAGGGTAAGTAGACATGTTCTGAAAGTTTGCAGAATCAAGATCATTTTGTGCGCACGTGCTTGAAAGAGCGCGCACGTGCAACATGTAAAATGACCAATATAATTGATATAGCCGTAACTTTTCTATTTTTGATGAAATGCGTTGAAACTCAGATTATAAGAATACATTGGGATTATAGACAAAAGGACATGGTCAAATTATCATGAACTCACTGCATGCACGTGTGCTTCGCTCTGATTGGCTGAAACAAAAATCTCAATATCTTATCCGTTTTTTTTGACGAAATACTTTGAAATTTAAAACATAGTTATGCATTAATATATCCTACGATATGATATAAAATGATTTTCATGAAATCACGCGCATGCACGTGAGCTGCAATCTGATTGGCTAAAACTTGAAATGGCTATAACTCCCCTGGTTTTAAGCCAAACGGGATGGGATTTAGAACATAGATAGTCTTAATGGACCCCTACAAAAAGGTAATGTCATCATGCACGTGCAATGCCTATAATTACAAATGCACTTGATTTAGCCTATTTTGAATACTTTTTATGTTCCCCAAACGAAGTTGGGATACACCTTTGTTCAAATGAAGGGCTACGCCCTTATTCAAGGGGAGATAATAGGAAATTAATGAAAATTTGGTGGCATATTTTAAAAATCTTCTTCTCAAGAACCACTGTGCCAGAAAAGATGAAACTTATATGGAAGCATCCTCAGGTAGTGTAGATTCAAGTTTGTTCAAATCATGACCCCCTGGGGTAGGGCGGGGCCAAAATAGCCGACCAGTTTTAAAGTTTTAAATAGAATTATATTGGAAAATTCTTTAAACATCTTCTTCTCAAGTATGACAGAGCCATAATTCATCATATTTATATGGAAGCATGCTCAAGTAGTGTAGATTCAGATTTGTTCAAATCATGACCCCCAGGGTATGGCGGGGAAAAAATGACAGACCAAAATTTTTAAAGATATATATAGGTTAATTCTTTAAAAATCATTTTCTTATAAATGGGAAATCCATGATTGGTCAAGGGACTACTTTTGATTTAAACTTAAACAATAAAAAGCCATTTTCTACTTTTTCCTAGTGCTCAAGTGAGCGATGTGGCCCATGGACTTCTTGTTTTTCTTCTTCCTGAAAGTCATTTTGCGCGCACGTGCTTGCAAGGCCACGCATGTGCAACACAAAAATGACCAATATAATTGATATAAATGTAACTTTTTCAATTTTTGATTAAATGCACTGAAACTGATAATATAGGGATATTAGTAGCATATAAAAGATGACTTGGTCAAAATAGCAAGATCTCACGCGCAAGCACGTGCGCTTTGTTCTGAGTGGTTGAAACTAAGATCTCAATATCTTTCTTGTTTTTTTTATAAAATCCTTTGAAATTTTTTACATAGTCATATATTAGGGAGATCTACAGCATGATAATAATATTATTATACAAGAATTATCATGAAAGCATGCAGATGCACGTGTGCTTACGGTAGAGACTGTTTAGAAAAAAAGCATGTTTATTCTCTTATTTTTATATAGAAAAAAATAAACAGAGGTATAATAAAACGATATATTTGAAGCATAGACAAGACGACATGATCAAAATAGCAAGATCTCACGCGCATGCACGATATGGTTATACATTATGAAGATCTACAGCGTGATATACAAATGTATAAGAATTGGGATAAAAAACATGCGTGTCCATGTGTGCTGCAATCTGATTGGCTGAAACCTAAAATGCATATAACTTTCTTAGTTTTCAACAAAATGGGATAAGACTTAGAATATGAATAGGTATGATGGATTCCTACATTATGGTTTTGTCAAAATTGAATTCATGAACATGCATGCATTCAAGTGCGCGCGCGAAATATGCAAAATGACCAATATATTTGAAAACAGTAAAATGTATATTATGAAGATTTCTTTTGATTATTGATTCTCACGATATATAGATATGGTGATTGTTTAGACAACATGCCATGATCATCTTGCATGTGCATGCACGAGAGTGCGCGTACAATGCATTAAATGACATATTGTTGATATAATTGTAGCTTTTACAAGCTTGTTGCTTTGATAAAAATTCTTTGATCAAACTAGTCATATTTTTTAAATGTCTTACAGGAATTAGGAACAAAAAAGGGATTTGGGGAGCGTTTGAGGAACATCTGTAACGGTCCCCGTTACAATTAGCACTAGTTTTATTGTCATTTGGATCAATTCACCTGGCTTGGTATATTTTTCTAAGGTTCATATAACACTTTAAGCGCCAAGATAACATATTCTGAAATTTATTTTCACCTTTAACCTTTAACTGATTGTGATTTGTCTATTTTTGTTTTTTAAGGAATTATTACAAATATTTTCCAAGTCTATTTCATGTTTCAGTTTTACGGAAAAAAAATTTTAAGAACCACCCACTTCTAAACTTGTAACATGATATTAAATCTTTTAAAAGAAAAAAAATTATTTGTATCATCTGTCCTTAAATGTCATCTTAGTATCATGTAACAACTTTTTAGAAATATAATTTCGTACGTGTTGTATTCCAAAAGCCATGAAAAATACAATTTTGAAAGACACATCATTGCCTAACATTTTATACACTTAGCATGCTTACTCTGATTAAAGTACTTGATAACCAGAGGTAGATTAGAGTAACAAAGAGAAAATACATTTCAATTTATTACTACCAGTTGTGCACCCAATCCCGCATGAACCACTGACCCTGCAGCCACATTTTTTTGAAATTTTTGAAATATTATCATACATTTTATTTCATCATAAATGGTTGATTAATGCCAAAGAGCAGATTTCAAAATATAATTTTTGTTTCAGACAAAATTTTCCCCTCGGTACCTGCCCCATGGTACTTTTTTCCGTAATAACTTTACGCAATGAATGCGGTCACAAATTGTCCGAGGAAACGTGTCTCATTGTACATAAGATAATTGTAGGGAATATAGTGAGAGTCTCGAAAAATCCGCGTTATTATCAAGAGGAAATCGAGATTCTGTGGTATTATGACCCTATGACAAATAGTACGTCTTCGGTTACAATTTTGTAAAAGGAACCTTTTTTATCATGAATATGTAATTAGATCATTGGTACAGTAATCAGAATTCATGCATTTCACTATAATAAGAGCCCGGTCCTTATGCCAGAACCCCTGACCAAGGGGCCCTGAAATTCACAAATTGGAAAGATACAGTCTTTTGCAACATAACTAATACATGGTTAGTTTATTTAATTGAACAGGAGCAAAGAAGAAGATTTTTTAAAGACTTAATGTATTTTTACTATATATTCAAAGGAGGAGCTCAGCCCAAAACACACCAGAACCCATGACCCAGGGTCCCCGAAATTCACAAATTGGGAAAATGCTTATTCAACATAACTTTGTACTTGATAAGTTTATCTAATGTCCAGAAGCAGAGAATAGGTTTTTAAAGAATAAGTGTTTTTTTCATTATATAATCAATAGAGCCCAATCCTAACACCAGAACCCATGACCCAGGGGCCATGACATTCTTGCCAATCATAACTTTGTACTTGATTAGTCTATTTCTAAAATACCTATTTTATGTAATTTTACTATATAATCAATAGAGCTCCCCCCTAACACCAGAACCCCTGACCTTGGGCTATGAAATTCATGAAATTCATTCCATATAACAATGTACATGGTTAGTTTATTTATGCCCATGAGCAGAGAACACGATTTTCATAGAATTTATGTAATTTCACTATATTATCAATAGAGTTCCGCCTTAGCACTAGAATTCCTGACAATTTTGGTAGAGGCAGCCTTAATCAACATAGCTTTGCACTTGGTTAGTTTTTTAATGCCCA